TACATATATTGTGAACGACACTGTATCCTGTATACATATATTGTGAACAGCACTGTATCCTGTATACATATATTGTGAAAGACACTGTATCCTGTATACATATATTGTGAACAGCACTGTATCCTGTATACATATATTGTGAACAGCACTGTATCCTGTATAATACATATATTGTGAACAGCACTGTATCCTGTATACATATATTGTGAAAGACACTGTATCCTGTATACATATATTGTGAACGACACTGTATCCTGTATACATATATTGTGAACGACACTGTATCCTGTATACATATATTGTGAACGACACTGTATCCTGTATACATATATTGTGAACAGCACTGTATCCTGTATACATATATTGTGAACGACACTGTATCCTGTATACATATATTGTGAACAGCACTGTATCCTGTATACATAAATTGTGAAAGACCCTGTATCCTGTATACATATATTGTGAAAGACACTGTATCCTGTATACATATATTGTGAACAGCACTGTATCCTGTATACATATATTGTGAACAGCACTGTATCCTGTATACATATATTGTGAATGACACTGTATCCTGTATACATATATTGTGAAAGACCCTGTATCCTGTATCCTACATATATATGTGAATGACACTGTATCCTGTATACATATATTGTGAAAGACCCTGTATCCTGTATACATATATTGTGAAAGACACTGTATCCTGTATACATATATTGTGAAAGACACTGTATCCTGTATACATATATTGTGAATGACACTGTATCCTGTATACATATATTGTGAAAGACCCTGTATCCTGTATACATATATACTATTATTTAAATGACATTTTAGTATTGATATGAAACATCCTATTAAACATAAAAGGTTCAGTTTTTTTTTTATTCTGTCTCAGGTGGTAGGCTTTTGGAGCGATCGGTGGAATGCTGGGTGAAATCACGGACATATTCTCTATTCTCTCTCCAGATTATAACATACCAGACTTCTTCTGTAATAGAACAGTAGGGACCACTAATGTTACCCAGAGAGGCCAATCAGATAATAGTCTGACGGTAGAATTCTGACCGGCTGGTGTGATGAGGAATTCCATTTTCACGTTGCTTCTGTAGTGGAAATAAAACCGGATTAACGTTCTGATTTTGATTACTTTATCCCTTTAAATCTCAGAAGTGAACAAAGATGAGCAGGGGTCCTTTCACAGAGGAAGATGTGCAGGCGCTCGGGAGGCTGCGCAGTAAATGATGGCAACCGTGGATTAGATAACTGATTTACTGGGGAGGTCCAGACCGATGATCAGTTTTTATTCATCATTTCATATTTATGTACAAGGTATATCATATACATATATTTAAGTGTGGCTTCTAAAAAAAAAAATCAGTTTAGGAAGAGTGGGGTAGGGTTAGATCCTCTGGCAATGAGCACAGGAAATCATCTGCTCACTGGATTTCTGGCAGGATCAATGGCTAATTTTTTTTTGCACTTACTGAACATACAAAAAGGCATTTAATGGTATATTTAACAGGCCAAATGGGAGGAAATAAGAGTGCTTCATTATTAGGGTTCCTTTTTTTTATTTCTCATACTGTCCCTTTAAGGGTTGCGTAGGATGCCTAGATGAGTTCTCGATTCTTGCGCGGCGCCGTCTCTTCCGTATAATTTGTCTCGCTCCATGTTTCAGCAAAAGAATCATTTCCTTCCCTCCCGCGGACCCGTCAACGGCGGAGCCCACATAGAGATCTGATTGTGCTTAGCTAGAGGTCAGTGTATTTGGTGACACAGATAATCCTATCACAGTGGTGACATTATGGAGACAATAAGCTCTCCCTCGGTATTAATGCTCGCTATGAATTATCTCCAAAGGTGTATTTCCCAGCTAATTACTTTGGTAGGGGTGCCAGACTTACAATAAGTCTATTTTAATTAGCCGGCAAAAAAGAACGCAATAAGTGCTGACTTGATTCCTTACCTGCTCAGCGGGAGCTGATAATCACCAAACTTATACCAACGCTTCTATTTATTTATTGCGGGTATTTACAGTATAGAGCGCCAACAATTTACATAATGTATGTTCATATCAGTCCCTCCTATTTATTTATTGCGGGTATTTATAGTATAGAGCGCCAACAATTTACATAATGTATGTCCATATCAGTCCCTCCTATTTATTTAATTGCGGGTTTATTGCGGGTATTTACAGTATAGAGCGCCAACAATTTACATACTGTATGTCCATATCAGTCCCTCCTATTTATTTATTGCGGGTATTTACAGTATAGAGCGCCAACAATTTACATACTGTACGTTCACATCAGTCCCTTCTATTGTATTGTATTCTATTGTCTATATTGTAGGGATTTACAGTGTATAGCCCTCAAAATGTACATACTATATGTCATTCGCATCAGTCCCTCCTATACTTTTATTTATTTATTGCAGGTATTTTCAGTATATAGCACCAACTATTCACACTGCTACACATTTAGATCAGTCCCTTATATACACTATTTATTGCGGGTATTTACAGTATAGAGCGCCAACAATTTACATACTGTATCTTCATATCAGTCCCTCCTATTTTTATTTATTGCGGGTATTTACAGTATAGAGCGCCAACAATTTACATACTGTATGTTCATATCAGTCCCTCCTATTTATTTATTGCGGGTATTTACAGTATAGAGCGCCAACAATTTACATACTGTATCTTCATATCGGTCCCTCCTATTTATTTATTGCGGGTATTTACAGTATAGAGCGCCAACAATTTACATACTGTATGTTCATATCAGTCCCTCCTATTTATTTATTGTGGGTATTTACAGTATAGAGCGCCAACAATTTACATACTGTACATTCACATCAGTCCCTCCTATTTATTTATTGTAGGCATTTACAGTGTATAGCCCTCAAAATGTACATACTATACATTCTCATCAGTCCCTCCTATACTTTTATTTATTTATTGCAGGTATTTTCAGTATATACTGTAGCACCAACTATTCACATGCTATACTTTTACATCAGTCCCTTCTATACTCTAATTATTGCAGGTATTTACAGTATAGAGCGCCTACAATTTACATACTGTACATTCACATCAGTCCCTCCTATTTATATATTGTAGGCATTTACAGTATATAGCCCCCAAAATGTACATATTGTACATTCACATCACTCCCTCATATATTTTTTTTAATTTATTGCAGGTATTTTTGGTATATATCACTAACAATTCACATACTATACATTCACATCAGTTCCTCCTATACTTTTATTTATTTACTGCAGGTATTTTCGGTATATAGCACCAACTATTCACATACTATACATTCACATCAGTCCCTCCTATACTTTTATTTATTTATTGCAGGTATTTTCAGTAGAAAGCACCAACAATTCAAACAATATACATTCACATCAGTCCCTCCTATACTTTTATTTATTTATTGCAGGTATTTTCAGTATATAGCACCAACTATTCACATGCTATACTTTTACATCAGTCCCTTCTATACTCTAATTATTGCAGGTATTTTCAGTATAGAGCGCCTACAATTTACATACTGTACATTCACATCAGTCCCTCCTATTTATATATATTATTGCATTTACAGTATATAGCCCCCAAAATGTACATATTGTACATTCACATCACTCCCTCATATATATTTTTTTTAATTTATTGCGGTATTTTTGGTATATATCACTAACAATTCACATACTATACATTCACATCAGTTCCTCCTATACTTTTATTTATTTATTGCAGGTATTTTCAGTAGAAAGCACCAACAATTCAAACAATATACATTCACATCAGTCCCTCCTATACTTTTATTTATTTATTGCAGGTATTTTCAGTAGAAAGCACCAACAATTCAAACAATATACATTCACATCAGTCCCTCCTATTCTTGTATTTATTTATTGCAGGTATTTTCAGTATATGGCACCAACTATTCACATGCTATACATTTACATCATTTCCTTCTATACTCTAATTATTGCAGGTATTTACAGTATAGAGCGCCTACAATTTACATACTGTACATTCACATCAGTCCCTCATATATATTTTTTTTTATTTATTGCAGGTATTTTCAGTATATATCACTAACAATTCACACAATATACATTCACATCAGTCCCTCCTATACTTTTATTTATTTATTGCAGGTATTTTCGGTATATAGCACCAACTATTCACATACTGTGCTATATATTTATATCATTCCCTTCTATAATCTATTTATTGCAGGTGTTTACAGTAAATAGCACACACATTTACATATTGTACATTCACATCGGTCCCTCCTGTACTCATATTTAGTTATTGCAGTTATTTACAGTATATAGTTCCAACAATTTATATACTGTAAATTCTCATCAGTCCTTTCTATATTTCTATGTATTTATTGCAGCAATTTTACAGTATATAACACCAACAATTTACATACTGTACATTTTTAATGAGTCCCTCATTTATTTCAGTTATTTACAGTATATAGCCCCAAAAATGTACATACCGTGCATTCACATCAGTCCTTGATATACTTTTAAAATGTATTGCAGGTATTTACTGTATATAGCACCAACAATTTACATACCATACATTCACGTTAGTCCCTCCTATTCTTTTATTTATTTATTGCAAGTATTTACAGTATAGAGCCCAAACAATTTACATACTGTATGTTCACATCAATCCCTCCTATACTCTTATTTATTGCAGGTGTTTACAGTATATAGCACAAAAATTTACATATTGTCCATTCACATCGGTGCCTCCTGTACTCATATTTATTTATTGCAGTTATTTACAGTATATAGTTTCAACAACTTATATACTGTACATTCTCATCAGTCCTTTTTATATTTTCATTTATTGCATCAATTTACAGTATATAGCGCCAACAATTTAATTATTGTACATTTATATTAGTCCCTCAGATAGGATGAGGTTACTAAAACCCGGACCCTGCATTCACTATATCTGGTCTCCCCGGACCCTGCATTCACTATATCTGGTCTCCCCGGACCCTGCATTCACTATATCTGGTCTTCCCGGACCCTGCATTCACTATATCTGGTCTCCCCGGACCCTGCATTCACAATATCCGCTCTTCCCGGACCCTGCATTCACTATATCCGCTCTCCCTGGACCCTTCATTCACTATATCTGGTCTCCTGGACCCTGCATTCACTATATCCGCTCTCCCTGGACCCTGCATTCACTATATCCGCTCTCCCCGGACCCCGCATTCACTATATCCGCTCTCCCTGGACCCCGCATTCACTATATCTGTTCTCCCCGGACCCTGCATTCACTATATCTGCTCTCCCAGGACCCTGCATTCACTATATCTGTTCTCCCCAGACCCTGCATTCACTATATCCGCTCTTCCCGGACCCTGCATTCACTATATTCGCTCTCCCCGGACCCCACATTCACTATATCCGCTCTCCCTGGACCCCGCATTCACTATATCTGTTCTCCCCGGACCCTGCATTCACTATATCTGCTCTCCCTGGACCCCGCATTCACTATATCCGGTCTCCCCGGACCCTGCATTCACTATATCTGCTCTCCAGGACCCTGCATTCACTATATCCGCTCTCCCCGGACCCTGCATTCACTATATCCACTCTCCCCGGATCCTGTATTCACTATATCCCCTCTCCCAGGACCCTGCATTCACTATATCTGCTCTCCCCAGACCCTGCATTCACTATATCCGCTCTCCCACAGTACACACAGCATGGAAATGCAATTATTTTAGTAAATATAAACTGCTAAAAACCTTTTCTCATCAGCAGTTAGAGCAGTCTTCTTCTATCAGTGTCCAGCCGAGCACTGGTTACAGCTTGTAGGAGTTTTTCCTGCTCTAGGAGGATGCAGAACCCCTGACCTCTGGACAGTGCTGATTGGTCCTGTGCTGATCACATGCACTCTTCCAAGAAAAAAAAACCTCTGTACCTCTCTAGTTCCCCGTTAAGACATATGGTGCAGAGCCTCTCTGCACATGTTCAGTTTGGTGTAAACTGAGCATGTGCAGAGAGACTCGGCACCATATGTCTTAACGGGGGGGGGGGGGGGGGCTCTGGAAAAAGAGGAGGATCAGAGAAGACAGGATCAAACAGCCTTTTTACATAATACGGAGGATTAACCCCTTAGGTTCCGCAGTGAGTATAACAAGCATGCTTTACTGTATATAGAAGGGGAGAATCAGAGAAGACAGGATCAAACAGCCTTTTTACACAATGCGGAGGATTAACCCCTTAGGTTCCACAGTGAGTATAGCAAGCATGCTTTACTGTATATAGAAGGGGAGAATCAGAGAAGACAGGATTAAACAGCCTTTTTACACAATGCGGAGGATTAACCCCTTAGGTTCCGCAGTGAGTATAGCAAGCATGCTTTACTGTATATAGAAGGGGAGGATCAGAGAAGACAGGATCAAACAGCCTTTTTACACAATGCGGAGGATTTACCCCTTAGGTTCCACAGTGAGTATAGCAAGCATGCTTTACTGTATATAGAAGGGGAGGATCAGAGAAGACAGGATCAAACAACCTTTTTACAAAATGCGGAGGATTTACCCCTTAGGTTCCACAGTGAGTATAGCAAGCATGCTTTACTGTATATAGAAGGGGAGGATCAGAGAAGACAGGATCAAACAGCCTTTTTACACAATGCGGAGGATTTACCCCTTAGGTTCCGCAGTGAGTATAACAAGCATGCTTTACTGCATCTACAGACTGATTTTACGGTTGTGGGTTTAGTAACACATTATTAGGTCTTTGAGCCCTGATGAAGGGGGCAATGTTGGGCGAAATACGTTGGCTTCCATATTTGATTGTCTATCTTGCCTTCTATGTTAGATCCAATGTTTCACAGCAGGTGTACAGACTCAGGAAGGGCAGAGTTCCCACCAATCAAATCTCTGAGCAACAGCAAAATCCTTCCAGGTGGTTTAACCGTCCAACATCTACCAAACGAAATATCAGACTAGGGTGGAATGACCCTTTAAGATCTCAGTTCTGGTGCACTTTTACCCTTCAGTTGTATGATATCCGTTTGCAGACGATTTTTCTCCTGACTGCAGTGTCTCGGGAACTTGCTTAGCATTACAGCAGGGTCATTAGCTTGCTATAGGTGTACGCTCAGCGCTAAATTACTGCTGTATCATCTGACTTGAAAATTGAATTTATACCCCACTTTAATCTGCTAATTCCCTGTGAGGACCCTGCAGCTGCTGTGTACATATAAATATGCACATCACCTCTCCAAGAAGTCATCGATCACGTTAAGGTACCACCGCGTATGCGTATATATTAAAACTCGCCCGCGTTGTTTTGGTTTTTTTTTTCTTTCTCAAAACCAGCTCTGCCCTGGCCGTGGCACAAAAAAGATGAGATCTTAGGAAAACAATATATAAAGCTGCGGAACAGATGGCTAATATTTACTTTTGATTTTGACTCATTAAATGAGTATTTGGCCGGACCTGACACCATCATTTTGCGAGAATTAGCTTGGCCGGCAGACAGATAACGCCGCGCTTGTGCGATTTGACGGCCCTGCCGAAGCGGGATCCCTCCCCGGAAACTTTGGAGCCGGGATGAGTCTGACTAATGCTCCAGGCTATATTACACCTCATTTGCGGGTCTGGCGGGCTTGGAACGAAACGTAGCAAATATGTTTCAAGTACTTCTGCAAACAACGGAGTTCAGGATGGAAGTGGAAGAGCAGACGGGAGGTTTTTTTTTCCCAGTTTTGGGCAGAGTGGGGAAGGGTTAGGACTCCCGCTGGGATTTATTCTCAGTTTACATCTGTGCAGGCTGCATGCTGCAATTAGGGCCGCACATGCATTCTAATAGGGCTTCCCTACCCATGAGAAACATGGAGAAACCAAGCCGCACTGAACCGCATGGTTGCTGATGGGTAGGGGTGCCATTAAAAATTAATGGCACCCCCATGCATCTGCTAAAATATTGCACATTTTTCTGGGTGTCAGGAAAGAATGTGATTTTGTGCTCTGACAAGCAGAGATGTAAACCAGACCTTAGGGGTCCTTTACACTTGCTTTGATTTTAACACACATCCGCTCTCCCCGGACCCTGCATTCACTATATCCGCTCTCCCCGGACCCTGCATTCACTATATCCGCTCTTCCCGGACCCTGCATTCACTATATCCGGTCTCCCCAGACCCTGCATTCACTATATCCGGTCTCCCCGGACCCTGCATTCACTATATCCGGTCTCCCCGGACCCCACATTCACTATATCCGCTCTCCCCGGACCCTGCATTCACTATATCCGCTCTCCCTGGACCCTGCATTCAATATATCCGCTCTCCCCGTACCCTGCATTCACTATATCCGCTCTCCCCGGACCCTGCATTCACTATATCCGCTCTCCCCGGACCCCGCATTCACAAAATCCGCTCTCCCCGGACCCTGCATTCACTATATCCGGTCTCCCCGGACCCCGCATTCACTATACCCGCTCTCCCCGGACCCCGCATTCACTATATCTGCTCTCCCCGGACTCTGCATTCACTATATCCGCTCTCCCCGGACCCTGCATTCACTATATCCACTCTCCCCGGACCCTGCATTCACTATATCCGCTCTCCCCTGGACCCCACATTCACTATATCTAGTCTCCCCGGACTCTGTATTCACTATATCTGCTCTCCCCAGACCCTGCATTCACTATATCCACTCTCCCCGGACTCCGCATTCACTATATCTGCTCTCCCCCCGGACCCTGCATTCACTATATCCGCTCTCCCCGGACCCCGCATTCACTATATCTGCTCTCCTCGGACCCCGCATTCACTATATCCGCTCTCCCCGGACCCAGCATTCACTATATCTGCTCTCCCCGGACCCTGCATTCACTATATCCGCTCTCCCCGGACCCTGCATTCACTATATCTGCTCTCCCCGGACCCCGCATTCACTATATCCGCTCTCCCCGGATCCTGCATTCACTATATCCGCTCTCCCCGGACCCCGCATTCACTATATCTGCTCTCCCCGGACCCCGCATTCACTATATCCGCTCTCCCCGGATCCTGCATTCACTATATCCGCTCTCCCCGGACCCCGCATTCACTATATCCGCTCTCCCCGGACCCCGCATTCACTATATCTGCTCTCCCCGGACCCAGCATTCACTATATCTGGTCTCCCCGGACCCTGCATTCACTATATCCGCTCTCCCCGGACCCTGCATTCACTATATCTGCTCTCCCCGGACCCCCGCATTCACTATATCCGCTCTCCCCGGATCCTGCATTCACTATATCCGCTCTCCCCCCCGGATCCTGCATTCACTATATCCGCTCTCCCCGGACCCCGCATTCACTATATCCGCTCTCCCCGGACCCCGCATTCACTATATCCGCTCTCTCCCCGGACCCTGCATTTACTATATCCAGTCTCCCCGGACCCCGCATTCACTATATCCACTCTCCCCGGACCCCACATTCACTATATCCGCTCTCCCCGGACCCTGCATTCACTATATCCGCTCTCCCTGGACCCTGCATTCACTATATCCGCTCTCCCCGGACCAAATGGTCAGTCCGCCCCTGGTTGCTAGAATTTTTGTGTGTGTGTGTGCATGTCAGAAGCACAGGACCAATCAGCGTTCTCCAGACAGAGGGTCAGGGTCCTGCAGCCTCATAGGACAGTCAAAGAATAGAAACTCCTCCTAGAACCAGTGCACAGCTGAAGTCACAAAATTGTCCAGACATCATATCCCCCCTTATGTATTATACATGGAGATCATATCCCCCCCTTATGTATTATACATGGAGATCATATCCCCCCCTTATGTATTATACATGGAGATCATATCCCCCTTATGTATTATACATGGTGATCATATATCCCCCCCTTATGTATTTATACATGGAGATCATATCCCCCCTTATGTATTATACATGGAGATCATATCCCCCCCCCCCTTATGTATTATTCATGGTGATCATATCCCCCCCTTATGTATTATACATGGAGATCATATCCCCCCTTATGTAATATACATGGTGATCATATCCCCTCTTATGTATTATACATGGAGATCATACACCCCCTTATGTAATATACATGGAGATCATATCCCCCCCTTATACATGGAGATAAACCCCCTTATGTATTACATGGTGATCTATCTTATGTATTTATATATCCCCCCTTATGTATTATACATGATCATATCCCCCTTATGTATTATACATGGATCATATCCCCCTTATGTATTATACATGGAGATCATATCCCCTTATGTATTATACATGGAGATCATATCCCCATGGAATCATATCCCCCCTTATGTATTATACATGGAGATCATATCCCCCCTTATGTATATAACATGGAGATCATATCCCCCCTTATGTATTATACATGGTGATCATATCCCCCCTTATGTATTATACATGGAGATCATATCCCCCTTTATGTATTATACATGGAGATCATATCCCCCCTTATGTATTATACATGGAGATCATATATTATACATGGAGATCCCCCCCCTTATGTATTATACATGGAGATCATATCCCCCCTTATGTATTATACATGGAGATCATATCCCCCTTATGTATTATTACATGGAGATCATATCCCCCCTATATACATGGTAGAGATCATATCCCCCCCCTTATGTATTATACATGGTGATCATATCCCCCTTATGTATTATACATGGAGATCATATCCCCCCTTATGTATTATACATGGTGATCATATCCCCCTTATGTATTATACATGGGAGATCATATCCCCCTTATGTATTATACATGGAGATCATATCCCCCCTTATGTATTATACATGGAGATCATATCCCCCTTATGTATTATACATGGAGATCATATCCCCCTTATGTATTATACATGGAGATCATATCCCCCCTTATGTATTATACATGGAGATCATATCCCCCTTATGTATTATACATGGAGATCATATCCCCCCTTATGTATTATACATGGAGATCATATCCCCCCCCTTATGTATTATACATGGAGATCATATCCCCCTTATGTATCATATCCCCCCTTATGTAT